TGCTGAAAATGAGGCCAATAGGGCAGTGGTTCAATAAAATAAGTCATATTTCCCATTCAACTGGTGTATACCTTGAGCAGTTGGAGAATAAGATGGGTATTCAACCGACTGTTGAAATAGGTACAGAAAACTGTCGTTCTTGCAAACTAAGTGGATTATGCATTGTCATTAGGTAGAGCATGACTGGAAACAAAGACTTGGACTTTAACCTGATGATATCCTGGTATTCTATCAGAGTGAAGGTAACATCCCTCTCATCATATTTCATTACAAAATTAAAACTAGTGGGTGAAATTGTTTGAAGTTTGACAAGGACTTTCCTAAAAGTATGTTGTTTCCAAAAATAAAATATTTAATTTTGATTTTATCTACTTTTATCAATAAAAATTCATTATTTAATGTAGTTATTTGCACTCGGAATCTGATTAGTTCACCTGCAATGTGATTTTCACGTTTAGTATAAAAATACTAATTCTTTACCTTACAGTTTTCACATTTCACATGTATATTCTTCATAACCTCCTAAATGAATATCAAAAATGTTTTTAAGATAAATGCTTATATTATATTTGCTATTTCTCTACAACATCACTAACTAGCTATTATCATAAATGTACAGTGCAATGAAATGTTTAAAATTGAGAAACAGAAATATGTACATACCTTTTAACACTTCTTTGAATAATCTAAAAATATCTTCTTTGTGTCACATGAACAATTTCATGTCTTTATCTTTTCAATTACAGTTTATTTTTAATGTTTTATTTTCCTCTCCTGTTCTATATTTTTGATTATTTATATTAACAAATGTCAACAAGTGCCTGCAGGCAATGCAACGTTAAATTCAGCAAGATGATTTAGTCCCCCAGCATAATATTTCTTGCACTCGTTTGTCAAAGCTGTTTTGGGGATTCAAAGTATAGAATAATTTTAAAAATCATAAAAACCTTTCAAATGTTAATTTTAAAACACAAATAATATGTAATTAGCTAAAATATAAAATTAAAACCTGAATGCAATCTAACTGTCTCTTCAACTAATACAAAAAAGGCAAGAAAAAAAATTGCCAAGTTAACACTGGACTTAGCCTCATTTCACCATGTTTGAAAATGGATGTAAAAATGCATTTTTCCTGTTACAGTAACGATCTTCAAGAGCAAAGTCTGCTCTTTCTATTGGTTATAAGCATTCCATTCAACTTAAAACTGTCACTTAGCAACACAACTTAAACTTTGCAAGAGGGCGTGGCATAGCTTGAACTCAAGAATTTCTACAATGGTTTCCTGTTGAGGCCAATTCTAGGAATGTGTATCAAGTTACTGGTTAATGAACTGTATGTACATGTAGTTTATTGCCAGCAGGTAAAACGTTTTTAATCATACTCATTTCATGTATATAAAGTTCTGTTGCTATAGTGAGAATAAACGTGAAGTTTTTAATTATTGTTTCAGCAGTTTCATTTAAAATAAAGGAAAAAATCTTATACAAGACTTTGAATTATAACGTATTTGATAACAGTAATTCAATCAAAAAGCATTCATAGTAAAGTGGTTAAATTAAATTTTGAATGTAACTCAGTAACACTTTGTGATATGTGAAGAAAGGAATTTAAAAAGAGTAGTAGGAGCCATAGGATTAATGGGTTGACACATCAAAATCCTTCAAATATAATGTAATTAACCTCTGTATTTTGCTGGGTATGTTTATTCTTAAGTACATGCAATTGAAAAAAGTTCCCAATTTTACCTATCATAACAAAAATTTGTATCCAAAGAGTTAAATATATATCAACTAATAAATTATCAAGTAAAATAAATTCTAAAAAATAGAGCACATGTACAGGCTACATAATAAACATCTACGACAATCAACTTCACATGCACAAAAAACACAGAGTTTAATTGAAATCACTCTTACTACACTGACAAGTACTACTAGAGAAAAACTGTCAAACCTAAGATAGGCAGACATATAATTTTGAAAAGAATAAAGCTTTTGTGACACTCCTACCTATTACAAGGTGTTAAACCAGTGGTTTAACCCTATCGCTCCTTTATTGCGCATGACACAAGGTTTTAGTGTCTTACGTTCAAAATTCTATTAAACTATGTTTTGTTTATGTTATACTAATTAGAATAGAATAAAATATTAGCCAATAATCCATATTTTCATAGTATACAAGTTTTAAGTTCTTAATTCTACATTCTTAATTCTTAAATACAGTATTTAAAAAAAGATCTTGAATTTCCAATAGTGTGACCCACATGACACATTTTCTCTTAGCATGTCATCATCCCTATTTTATCACCACCTCTCAAAAAGGTATGAAATTAAATGTAAAATACTCTCTATAAAATTATGCGAACTATGTTAAATAATATTCCATTTTACATCTAAAG